GTCATAACTATTATCTTGTCAACTGTCATGTTTTTATCTTTCCAGGAAGCTGTTTTTACACGAGTCGCATGTGTGCTGTCCTGCTCCAATGCTGTCCCATCAGGATGAGCTCTCAGGAAGGGAAACAAACCAAGTGAGTTCCCAGTACTTGATCAATGTAGACCCATGCAGTCAGGCAACCACTGATCACAAGCAGAGATCTGTAGAGTGTAGTTCCTACTAATTCCTACCTAGACCATCACACTTGGCCCTTTCCATTGATTGACCTGTTAAGATTACTTTATTAGCCATATACAATTTCTACAATACAATTGCATTAGGAATTTGTCTTTTCACATACCCCAGCTTGCTCTCCATGAGACACACAGACAGGGAGAGAAGCTGGGGGTCAGAGCGCAGGGTCAGCCATTTATACGGCCCCCCTGGAGCAGTTGGGGTTAAAGGCCTTGCTCAGGGCCGCAACGGAGTAGGATTCCTCTTCCGGCTGCGGGATTTGAACCAGCAACTTTCTAGCCACAGGCGGAGATCCTGAGCCACTGAGCCGCCACTCCACCCAGTTATTGTCGTGCACAATATTTAGTGCATCATTCTGCTCATCAGTGACATGCTTGCTCCCAATCATAAGTACATTATAGAGGTTACAAGGGAGAGGAGGTGATTCAGCCCATGAAGCCAGTATGGTATTGATCGACTAATTGATCCAAGGATCTCATCCTGCTGTTTCTTGAAAGAAGTCAGGGTACCCGTTTCAACCACATGGCCTGTTGCCTCCTGTTTTTTGTTTTAAATGCACATCCATTTAGTTTTCACCAGTTCCCTCTAGTTCATCTTTCACAGTTCTTTCCGAAGAAGGTCGCTGACACTGTCTGAGAGGATTTCGAATTCTTGAAACAGGTTCCCTCTTAGTCTTCAAGTCTGTTCCTCATTGTCCTATAGGGTTATCTATACAAAACTTTGCTTGATTGCTAAAGAGTCCTTGGTCTTCTTGGCTGTGAGTCCAGGTGTTGCTCTTATCTCTGTGTTGATGAATGCTGGAATACACTGGGCCTCCTTCTGGTCATCTGGCTGTAGACATCAACACATCAACTGTTGAGGCACCACCTCCCAGTTAAGCCCCCAATGTGTGGACTGTAGTGACCAGAACCCATGGGATTGGTAGTGGGGAAACAATCACAAGAAGTGAGCAAAAGGACGTGTC